GGAGAAAAAAAGCTGACGTCCAAAGAAACACCGACACGACACTCAAACAAGCAACTACTGTGTACTACTAGCTTGACTGGACCAGCACGCGCCGGCAGCAGCAGTCCGCGGAATGCTTGGCCGTAAAGGTTGCAGCTCGCTGACAGATTGAGCCCCAGACAGCACACGACGAGAATGACGTGTGGTCAATGCCTGTGCGTTTGTTGATTGATTGAGGGGTTGGACCCTTTGCTGGGTCGCTGGGAGGGGTAAAGACTGCACTGCACACTGCACGTACAGTCTTGCCAAGCCGGCACATCACATCACCCGCCCGAACTCTGCTCAGCACAGGGATCTGATCACCAAAAACTACATACATATGTACATTGATTGATATGCTCCCGTCAATCGTCTACGGTTCCGCAGCTGCCGCTCGCCTCGCCGCCTTGGCCCGCTTCTTCTCCCCCTTCATGCTCTTCCTGGGCCGTCCCCTTTCTGGTTTTGGGGGAGGGCAGCACAGACTCGCCTTCATTGGCGGCCGCACGCTCACAAACCTGCCCTCGGGCGTAAAGATTTGCACTTTTGGCCATGCAATGTCGTCCTCGCCCTTCTTTTCTGGCGCGTCGTCCTCCTCTTTCCGGGCCTCCTCGTCTCCCGGCTCCGAGAGGTCAAGTGTCTGCCGGATCACGTCTCCACCGCGCCCTCTGGTCCTCGCGACCTTAACCTCCTTGCGCTCTGCGCCTTGCCGTCCCGACTCCAGATCCCTCTTCCGCACCTGCACCGTCAGCTCGACCCAGCCGACTCCCTCGATGACGATGTCGGCCCCGAGAATGCGGAAGGGCAGGCGATCTAGCGAAACTTTGCCTGCGTACTTGGCCGTTAGCGGGCCCGTGTAATCCTTGGTCACGTCCCAGCGGAGCTCGTAGGTGCCTGCGAGCTTGGTCGCCTCGATCGCGCTCTCCGTCGCGATGTTTTCTACTTGGACCTCTCCCGTCTGCTGCTGCATCGCCACCGCCTTCGTAGTGCTTGTGAGATGCGCCTTGAGCGGCACGAATGACCATGATAGCACATTGTACCGCGGCAGCTCGGGCGTGATGCGGATGAAGCCGCCTATCATCAAGGACTGGCCGGGCTGAATAACCTCCTTCGTGGGCCGGACGTGGGTCTTCATGATCAACGACTGGTGATGCTCCGGCTTGACATACTGTTCCAGCTGCGAGCGCTCCAGGCCAGGGAGATCGATCAGCTCGCCCTTGCCGTTGCCGAATGGCACTCGGATAGGCGACGCCGTGGTCCCGGGCAGCGCCGAGACGATGGGCATTTCGGGGAAGTTGGTCTCTCGGCGGGCGGGCGGAAGCAGCGAGTATTCGTCAAGCTCTCCCATCTCGCCCTCCTCCGCTTCTAGGGCTGCCTCAGGAGCAGGGAGCAGTTCCGCCATGGCCGAATCTTCCAAGTCGCCACCCTGCGGGCTTGCACCCAACGGGACCGTTATCTGATGTTTTGACTGAGGTTTCCCCATCAAGCCCTTGGGGAAGACGTCGTGGAACAGGCGGCTTTTGCCGACGTTGGCCTTGCCCACGAACCAGCAGCCGCCGCCGCGCTTCCAGATATCTTTCTGGAGCTCCTGTGTCCACCAGCCGCGCCGGGCGCTCACGCAGTGCACGTTGCCCAGGCGGAGTCGGCGGCCGCGCCTGCCCAGGGCATCGCGCAGAGTCTCCCTGAGGTAGCTCATCATGCCGTCGACCAGCCTCTTTTTGGGCCCTAGCAGGTCTGAGCGCGTGATCACAAAGCTGATCTCCGTCTTGCGGTCCTTGTAGAAGCGGCCGCTCCTGGATCGGCGGTTCTGCGACCGCAGCGGCATTGCCTCGAGCAGGCTGTGGATGTTGGGGAGCAGCGACATGGGGAAGTCGGCCGCGTCGATGACGTGGTAGACGTGGTTGTACTTGTAGGGAGACTCGTCAAGCGTCTCGCGCAAGGCATCGAGGCTGGGGTGGAAGATGGGTGCCCCCTCCGAGTGGTGTATTAAGTTGTGGCAGCGATCGCATAGCAGCTGCCGCGGGCTTTGCTGCTCCTTGGCTTCATGATTGGGAAGGTCTGATGTGAGGGCAGTGATGTTTACCCCCAGTTTTTCAAGCTCCTCGGGCTTGACGGACCGCAGTGCCGCCGTGACTATCGCATCCTCCTTCTCGTGTCTCGTTGGGACCCTGGGCGGCGGCGACTCCATTCCGCTGCACAGCATGACGTCCTTCCGTTCGGGACCGTAGTAGCCTGGCCGGCCTGGAGCGGCAGTCTGCGTGATTGCGCCACAGCCGGTGCACAGGGGTGGCAATCCGGACAGGGCCTGACGTGCCCGCTCCGGCTCTGCATCATTGCCGAGCACCTCTGTGCCCTGTAGTGTCACATCTAGGCTGTAGGCCCGGCGCACCTCCCGCTTGGGCTGTAACAGAGACCTTTCCGCAGGTGCATAACTACACTTGCGCTGTCTACAGACGAGCGGGCGGCCATGGCGCAAAGGGAGGTGGGCGGAAGCGAAGCCGCGGAGTGCTGGACAGAGGTAGAGCGGGGGGGCCTGGAAGAGGAGCGTCGTCCTTCGCCCGCTAGAACCAAGCGATGCCCTGAGCCATGCTGCCGGCTGCATGCTGCAGAGGGACAGGACTTCGGCTTTCCTATAAAATAGTCAAAGAAAGGAACAAAAACCGTGTATCACAACGAGACATCCATGAGCAAAACTCCAGGATCACGAGCTGTCGCATCGCATCGAAAAGAGGAAGAAAAAAAAGTAAACCAACGGCCAATGACGTTCCTCCAACCCACCATGGTGGGTCACATCCCTCCCCTGCGCGACCAGCTCCGCACCAATCATGCAGGCCCTGACGCCCCTGCAGGAAAACTATTGTCGGGGGTCTCGAGCAAGAAGCAAGCGGCGGCTGCATCTCCATGAACGACCTTCAAGAACCGAAGCCGACCACGACAACGGGCAGAGGCCGCCCCCCGACCAGCCCGACACGAGAGTAGCTCCGGATCAGCTCCCGAAACCCAATTGGCCAACTTCCGAGGGGCCAATGAGCCCTCGCGCAGACTTTGCAACATGGTTAGCGTTGTGAAGCGCATGCGTGCGCTCAAGAACGTAAGCCTCCTCCTTGCCCCGCGCTTTTGAATTACACCCTCGCCAGTGATGCTGACCTCTGGGGGTTTATAGAAGGTATAGCTCCCCCGCAAGCTCTCCGCAGCCCGGCTGGCGACTAACCACGCCGCAATCCCTCCCTCTCTCTCTCTTTCTCCCCGCAGCTATATGCGCTCAAGTTCGGCCCAGGAGGAGCGGTGCTGCCGGCCAACATCACCAGGATACACATGGAGTTTGGCCTCAAAAACGGCAAGGGCCATGTCGGACCAACGTACGCCCAACGCAACGCTGCTGCCGCATTTCGGGAGGCGACGCCCGTCCCCTTGACAAGCTGACCTCCTCCCCCATAGGAAATTCTGGCGTGACAACCTCCCGAGGTTAAAGTACTGGAACCCCTCGGTCCCGATGCTGGTTAACCGGTCGCCCGACGACGACAAGCTCGCCACCATGTCCATCTACCTGCAACAGTCCGCCCCGGGCTCTGGCAAGAAGAAGGCCCCCACCAGCACCTCCACCACAACCCCGACGCCAACCCCCACAGAAACAGCAATAGCACCAGCAGCACCAGCACCAGCAGCAGCGGCGGCGGCGGCAGCACCAGCAGCAGAGACCACCACAGACGCAGCAGCAGCCGCCGCCACCGAGGCCAAAGCGAAGCAGGCGGCCAGCCGCTCGGCCTGGGACGGCAGCGCGGCCGCACCGCCGCCCGTCGAGGGCGAGCGCGTCGTCACCATCGACATGACGCACATGCGGTCCGAGGCCATCCTGGCCGAGCTCGTCGCCAAGACGGGCGCCGTGCCCGCCAGGCCCGGGCCCGAGGACGACGATGAAATGGCCGAGCTGGCCGCCGTCAAGAGGCAGGGCGCCGCGGACCGCGAGCAGGTCGAGGCCTTCGTCCGCAAGCAGAAGCGCGAGAAGGCCCTGCTCGAGCGCGCCAGGAAGGAGGCCGACGCCATCAAGGCCGCCAACGCCATGTAGTGCGCGCTCCGCCGGCCGGACTGCTGTTTCGCCCTGGCGCCGGTGGGTTTGGGCGCGTGGCGGCGGCGAAGTCGGGTTGGCAACCGGCTGGGTTTGCGGCCGGCATTCTGGGTGCAGGGCAGAGGGCTCGCTGAAGCCCCTTGTATATGTTTTGCATCTACTATTCATTGTGCTGAGAGAACATGTCGCCCATGTGTCTCACAGAAACTAACCCCCTTCTGACTGTCCCGCCGGACCGTCAGCTGCATGCCACTACTCTGCCATGGATCAAGGAACGAAAAGTGATTTATCTGTGGTGGTATATAGATGATGGTTTTGTATGTAGGAATGCTCATTTTCTTCATAACAAACTCCTGGGTCCAATGATGCTGCGCTCCGACGGGTACAGAAAAATGGGTAAGCAAAGAAAGAAAATCCAGGACCTGGCCGTCGACAGCATGCCGGGCTGGAACTGGGCGCTGGAGATCGCTATTGGAAAGAAGCCACCAATTATGTAATAGGAACAACATGTCAACTCTGAAAGAAACCCCCTTTGATGCCCGTTCGGGGCCAACATTACTCCGGCAAGCAGTGCCGCATCTTTTCTCGCCCGCGTACAAGACAAACCCGCGCCGCCTGCGTCGGTTGGACATTGGACATGCTGCAACAGCGAGTTGAAACAAAGCGAAGCAAAGCTTGCGGGAGAAAAGCCCATAGGGTTCTCCTCACTTTAGGCCAAAGCCCTCGCTCTCGTGGACCGCATCCCAAAGCTTGCGAGCCAGCTTCTTCTTGGAACGATACCGCCAGAGCGCCAGAGTGTTGAAGCAGGTTCTAGCGGTAGGATACCGTTCGCAGTCGTCTCCGAGGCAGAGCAGCCGGATCACTAGCGAGGCTGCCCCCGTGGCGGGGATTCGGTCGCTACCCGTGACGAAGACGAGCAGATGGCGTTGCTCCGCCGGATTGGCCTCCTCGAGCAGCTCCCAGAACCAGCGCACCGTCGGCTCCGTGTCCTCGGCGTCCGTCGTCCAGCCGTCGTATTCGGCCGCTGTCCGCAGCGAGCTGATGTCGAGCGACTCCGCAGACCCTCTAACCAGGAGCTCGATCTCTTCGGGTCTAAACAGCGAGAGGGCGTTCCCGCCGCACACCGTGAAGAACCCGCGCTTGAACGGGTCGAACTGCCGGAAGACGGCCGTGTCCAGGAGATGCCTAACGTAGAGATCCACGTACTCCCTCCTGTTCGAGTTCGTCACCGCCTTGTTTTCGCCACCCGGCGTCAAGGGTACCCTCTCGATCGACCCGTACTTGTCCACATCCACGACAAAGTCTAGGCAGAAAGTCGACTCCACGTCGCCGTCGTACTCGAGTAGCTGCCTTAGGCCCCGCGCGAGCCGGGGACGGAACTCTGCCAGATCATCGAGTGTGTAGGTCATGATAGTTCTAGGGTGGGTCGATGCCGATTTGGCAGGCATCGGCGCGGCCGCGAGCAGTTTCCGGAACGCAAACGGCGGGAGCGCAATGTCCAGGATGGTTGAGTTGTAAATAGCGAGGCCGAGCACTACGCCCACTAGAAAGTATTGGTCCGACGTCTCAAACGAGTAAGGATTGAAATAGCAAAAATGCGAGTCGTCATCATATATAAACAGGCCTAGATGAAGACAGAAGCCCTGCGGTTAGACGAGTGTCCGTCGAGCACACAAACATCGATGGGGGAGGGGAAAGCCCCGGCGTGGAAACACATACCATGATCGGGGTTGAAGACCTCCCTCACCAGGAGGAGAAACCACTCCTTCCGAAGGCCGCCCGCGTCAACGCCCTCCTCGCCCTTGAAAGTGATGCGGATGCCCTTCTTGATGTCTTCGCCGCCGCTGCCGATAACCTCGCTGACAGCCCTCAGGCTATCCTCAACAAGGCAGTCTCGGCGAACAGTGAGGTTTAAATACTGCTCAAACATGCCGTGGCCCATCAGAGTGTCGAAGAAGGCATCCCTGGCCTTTTTGCTCATCTGGCGTTTGGCGTCGTGCTCTAGGATTTGGATCTTGGCCCAGATGCTCAAGAGGAAGGGGTATTGGCAGAACGAGAACCTGCCCCTGCGGCTCTCCCAGGCCTCAAAGTCCGTCATGAGGTCCGAGTCGTCCAGGAGCGTCATGTAGAAGTCCGAGGTCGGCAGAAGTTGACCGCGGGCGTGAACCAGCCCTTTGGCACTGTCAATCTCGGCACCGGCATGCCCGCTCAAGAGAGCACGCTGATTCCGGGCAGGAGAGCGAAGGTTGTTTGCCGCAAAGATGAGCGACATCACACGAGCAGCAGCTTTTATCTGCCAGTCGTCACTGAAAACCATCTTTTGGGCGGCTTCCTTTCCCTTCTTGGATTGCCTGCCCGACGGTCCGAGGGCGGCATGCAGAGCCGCGGCCGAGCGACCGGCTGACATGTTAGGTATGAGACCACCAGTAACGTCGACCCTGGACTCTTGTTTCTTGTCCTTTTGCCGCATCAGACGGAATGCCAGGAACCCACCCACAACGTCCTTGGCTTCTATGAACCGAGGTTCTGGGTACTTTGCAAGCCAGTTGATGAGCTGGTTGTGGCACTCGGTGGGCGAGTTGGAGACCATGCCGAGGATGCGCTTGATTATCCCCGAGTGCTGACCAGCCGCGGGCCCGCCGCCGCCGCGAGCGTTGTTCCACTCTCTGCCACCTGGACGGCCGTAATGGCCCGTGAACATGCGACACTTGGCTGAAAGCAGCGGGTTCGCAAATATGAGCAATAAGAATCGAAGGTCAGCCGGCTCGACCAAGGGTCGACCAGGTCGCTTGAGCAACGTTTCGGTCGCCTTGAGCAGTAACCTTTGGGCGTGCTCCTGAGCGACCAGGATCTGTGCCTCGAGTTTTCGGAGGGCGGCATCCGTCGCTGGCTGCAGCGTCCCAGCAGCAACCATGCCATCGTACACGGCTCTCCATGGCTGGCCAGCGTTGATAATGGTGCTGTACCATTCCTCCAGCTCTGCCCACTCTATGTTCAGCGATCTAGGAGTTGGAGGCACAGGCGCATCCTCGGTCCTGCCCGACGACGTCCCGGGCCGCGTTCGACCGGGAAATCTACCGTCCTGCCCCCCGGTCCACCACATGCCGTTTTCCGCAAAATCTCCCAAAAGAAGCAGCTTGGGATCTAGCTCAGCGATTGGGCAATCTGCCTGGCTTGAGCTCGAGCCGCTACCTCTGTGGCTCTGCGCATCCGACGCGCGAACGCGTCTAAGGGGCTCTTCGATCCTTACCACAGAGGTGGGATTCGGCAGTCTAGGACCGCCAAATGACGAGTTCAAGGACCGCCATGACGCGAAGCACGTGGTCAAGTAGTCCTCAAGGGCCTTGAAGATTTTCCTTGGGTCCACCTCGCCGCCACCACCAGGCATCATCCCATACGAGGCTGAACCGCTGGGTTGTCCGGGGATCGCCTGGACGACTGGTCTTTTATCGGTGTATGATGTGGAGTACGACCTCGGCGGACGGTGCCTGTCTATCGACTCGAACGGATCCGGCTCTTCGAGGGGGCTCTCTACAAACTCTGGTGTATGAAGGTTGGAGAACACACGCCGCCCACCATGGCCGTCCTGTGTTTCTGCCTCTGAACCCCAGAACACTGCTCCGTTATATCCATTATCGGTTGGGGGAGGCATCAGCCCCTGACTTGCCAGATTCGCGCCAGCGCCGGGGCGGCGGGGGAGGGATGACGCAATAACGTCGCGCAAACAGGACCTGACCAGCAGTTTGGTGTGTTCGAGTGAGACTGGCTGTGCTGGAAGTGGTCACAATATTTATGATCAGTACAAGCTACTCATCCCTAGCGGGGGATGCGCAGATGCCGTGGCAGGTGAGTGCCTATGGTGAGGCATACCGTATATGGATCCCTGGTCGTTCTCGCCGTGGCGGTCATGTTTGGGGTCTCCGGTCGGCCTGGACCCGAGTTCGGTTGGCTTGAGATCGTTTACAGTCACGCATATCGTGCACCTGAACACGGTGAGATGCTTTGGCCAGCGCGCCAGGGAACCGCACGTCATGCAGTTTCCTGTGGTGAGGTCCTTACTTCCCGCCGTCTGGCCGTGTTTCGGGTGTGATGGGCCGGCGGAGGCCTTTGGCCCGGGGGCCAAGTCGTCGCTGTCGTCGTCGCTTGCTCTGGGGTCGGGGAAGCGGGAGCCTCCGGCGTCGGCAGCAGGACGGGACGCCTTCTTCTTCTTCATGCCGGAGAAAAGCGAAGGGAACGGGTGGCTCATTGAGCGTCCGTGCTGTGCCGGACGGCGGCGGTTGGTGGGCCGGAAGTCGTCGGAATCGGATGACTCGACCTGGAGCTGCGAGCCGTCGACGAACTCAAAGTCACCAATGTGCCTCGAGTTCCTGGACTGGTCGCCGGGTCTTGAGGCGCCCGACCCGGTGCGGCGATGGCTCAGGCTGCTGGACACATTGGGGTCCGGCTGCAGGTGCTGGCGATGGTGGCGGGCATTGGGGCTCGCTGTCGGGCGCTGGGGCAGCGAAGGCGAGCGCGGCGGCGACGGGGGAGGAAGGGGAGGCAAGGGCTTCTCCCGCAATTGCTCCATCTTGGCGCGCGTTGCTCCTTCTCGACAGAGAGGCCTTGCTTGCACTGGATCGGGGTCGGCGCGGGGGCAGTTACATTTCCGTGCAACCGTCATGGATCGAGTCCTTGGAGGCGCGGCGTGCGTTCTGTCGGTGTAGGTTCTTGGTCGGTCAAGGTTCTCGGTCCAGATCCAGGTCCAGGTCCAGGTCCAGGACAGGCTTGGCCGCCCGGGCGTCTCTCTGTCCCGCGAGAGGGCCAAGACCAGGCGACTGGAGGCGTTCGACGAGCGAGGCAGTTAGTGGCAGAGGCCGGTCGGGCGGTCGGGCGGTCGGGCCTGCTGCATCGGGTGGGCTTCGGGCGGTGTCTGCGAAGGTGCGCTCAAGCTCCACTAGCATCAAAGACGCACGCGGACAAATGGGAATGGATTCATAGTATGGAGGCCAGCCTGCCAAGCAGCAAGCGGCAGCTGAGGTAGCGAAAGCGGGCAGGAGCTCCAGAAAAATTAGAAGCGCATGGGTCGAAACACGAGCGGCCTTGGGTAGGCATTTTCCTTCATCTTTTGTTAGGTTGCCGCCACAAGGCCGAGCCCAGACAGTGTTCCTCCAATCTGATTGTGCCCATTTTCCACCACGCTTTACCTAGCCGCCATGAATTGCAACTCCTGCAAGGGCAACACACGCTACTAAGCCCCATGGGCAGCCAACGCGATGCGGTCCGTCCTCGGGTCTATCCTCTTGGATCTTCAACGGGCCCGACAGTCTGGATGCATTCATTTACCACCCGAATCCGCCCAGACTTGCAGCATGTGCAGGCACAAGCAGAGACTGAGTACATATACCACCATACATAGTACCCAGTTGCATTACGTCCCTTGTGCCGACTGAGGACCCTGACGCCCCCCACGACACGTGTCGCCGCAGTAGCACCCCCCGCCGCCTACGTAATGTCGTAACCACACCGGCTCCAACTGCCGGTCCCCAGCCCCGCCCTGTCTGGTGTCATGCAGATCACTTGGATATAAGTATATTTCGTGCCCAAAGAACTGAGCCAGCCCTTGCTCCAACAGGCATGGTAGGAGGGACTTCATCAAACCTTTCGCAGCTCGGATGTCCACAATGCTAGTCGAGCAGAGTCCACTGGTGCTGCCGCAGTGACTGCAAATGTGTACCAGGCAATACAACAACGGACAAGACCTCTGACATTGCCAACCCTTTTTGGGCGATAAACTTGGCCTAGAGCCATCAGGCAAAACGCACTTGCTGCACATACCCCGTTCGGCACTTGAACTCCTTCAAGTTTCCAACCACATGATCGTCCATGATGATTTGTTAAAAACCAGCAGATACTTCCGTCAGTCCAAAGTTGAGGCCGACCCTCAGCAACCTCCTGCGGTCTATAAAGACTAACAGCGGCCAAGAACTAGGTTGGCACCCACTCGTAGATGCACCTTTGCAGGTCCTGAGTTCCAGGATATGTCTTGGCGTAGATATCGAGTGAGTAAATGGTACTCAAGTGCCAGAGGTATCCCATCAGGTAGTAAACAGCCCAATGAAAGTGGCAATAAGCCACCAAGCCTACCTACCTTGGGTCTATATTTCCCCGATCTTGGTGCACGCAGAAGTTTTGCCTCCAAGCTTGAATCTTGCTTTGGTTTCACCTGGATGGCGCCCTAGCCCTGTCCGGCAGCTCCACGCCGGGTGCCGCCAGCACAGATGTGTACAAGGCCAAAAAAAGAAAAGGCCACTGTGGCTGGAATCAAGCTGCATATGGCAAAGGTCAGGGGTAACAGCCTCGTAGGATCTATTGATGTTTAATGGAGAAAAAGAAATACCAGCCGAACAAAGCCTCTCACAAGCCAGGCCCCATCGGCGCCACAATCACATTTGATATCCCCATTTTTAGTCGACTCTCCAATCACCTTGCGCGTTTGATTAATTATTCCCGTCGTTCTTCCTCTTGTCATTTTTGCTGAGGGAAGTATATAAAGGAGACTTGCTGGGGTCACCGTTGAGCACTTATTTTATTGATGCTGGCCAATAGAAATAGAGTATCAGTACCACTGTTTTATCCTCCCATCAGAGCCCTCCAGGTTCAAGGTGATCTGGTGTGACCATGTCCGTTATATCTACTTTGGCGACAAGGTCAACAGGGTAGCAGGTCTACTCGAAGAGAAAGCATGGTTGCATTGGCCGGCCAGGTCCATGACATGATACCTGCTCTGTCCTGAGGAACATCAGTCTATTGGTGTCGCCCTGAGAACAGTATACCAGGTTAAGCCAGTCTTTAGATATTCGGGTTTGTGGCGAATCTGTTCACAAGACTGAGAGGAATTTACTCAGTTCTAGAAAATCGATCGATGTGTGAGTGACGCGAGGGTCTTGTCGGGCTCCATGCGGAGACTCGACTGGACACTAGCAGAGGGCCTCACACTGCCCAGGTCTGACTGCCAAAGCCTCACTGGCATCAGGCCTATCGACGACCGTGGATAAATGGCCTGTGTAATGCAAATGATTTTTTCCCGAGGATCGTAAAGCTCCAAAGTCCAAACTCCCCACCAAACCCATCAAAGTCCCTTGACGCGTATTTTGTGTGCGTCCATGACCGGAACCCCGTTTCGACTACATGTGGTACCCCAAGAACAAAGCAGAACTCACTGTCCTATTGTGACGGCTAGCAGTTTATGAAGGGGGGGCAGCACCACGGCCACGGCCGAATCCACCGCGGCTAGAGACAAGTTAGTATTTTTGCACCGCGCGTGCCGTCGCTTCAACTTCGGGCCGCAGTGGGAAGAGGGCACTCACAACTGAGGCTGGAACTCGCCAGGCGCACCACCCTCCTTGCCCTCGCCAGCGTCGCGGCGGCGGTATCCACCATCGCGGTCGCCGCGCTCGGGGCGGTCGCCGCCACGGCCACGGCCGCCAAAGGTCCTCCGCTCGCGCTCGCCCTCGGCTCCCATCATGCCGCGCGGAGGGGCGTGTGATCGCTGCTGCTTGATGTGCGTGGCCGGGACGATCTCAGCCGGAAGATGGAGCCACTCGCGGAGGTAGTCGAGGCCCTCGGGCGTGAGGGTGTAGTCTGGTGTTGTCAGAATCTGATGCCCCCAGAGACTCGATGGAATGAGGGCACTAACAGTAGTATTGCCATGAGAAGCGGCTCTTTACGACTGTACGACTGGCGTGTCAGCATCTGTCTTGGGCCGGCGCATCGGGAGGTGGGCGAAACATACGACCGCGCGAGGTGAGCGACTGGCAGGCCTTGATGACGAAGAGGTTCTTGACGCCGGGAATGTCGGGGTGCTCGGCCAGGTTGAAGTCTTTGGCCGCAACCAAGACGCCCTCTCTGAAGAGGTTCTGAGGTGAAGCGTCACGTTAGTAATTTGTCTGGCAACCTGCTGGTCCAGCTGTCCGCCATCGCTGCGCTACGTTGCGCGAGAAAGTCGGAAATTCGCACCTCGTGGATCGCCTTCCTATCCGCCTTGGGGATGAGCATCTTGTCGGTATGCTAGACGGTTGGCGTCGTTTCTTGGAGATATTGAGTCCAGAGGCAAGGGAAGTTTGAAATTCGGATTTGGTCGAATTTTAGCAATGGAGGGAGGATTGTGTGGGCGCTACCTTGCCCATGGTGCCCCCTCCATCAATGGGGCTTGTGGGTCGCGGGAAAATGAAAGCCACACATGTACGCCACTCCCAGCCACACCACAGGCGACGCCAATTGCTCAGCCTGACGTTTGAGCCCGCCACCATTCGTGATCAGCCCATTCAATTCCCTGCTCAACCTGGCAGATAACCCGGCTGCAGCACCAACCCCGACCAATTCGCCCGCCAAAACACCAAACAAACATTCATCATGTCTGACGACGAGCGCGTTACCAAGCCCTTCAAGTTCGTCACAGGTACGACGCCGAAGACCCGAATCCCGCCGCTCGCCGGCCGCCCGAGCGACCGAGCCTCGGCTGTAATCGACGAAAAGCTAACTCGCTGACTGCTCTGCAGCCGGTATGAACTTATCTCTCAGTTGACAGCCAGACGAAGCGCGCGGCCAACGACTATGGCGAAACCGAAGACGACGTTGATCAAACTGCTCGTTCCTGACGCCCTCTGACCTGTGACTCTCTTCGTAGGCTTTGATGCGCGGTTCCCGAACACCAACCAGACCAAGCACTGCTGGCAAAACTACGTCGACTACCACAAATGCATTCTCGCCAAGGGTGAGGACTTTGCTCCTTGCCGCCAGGTTCGTCCACGCAAACCCATGCGCTGCCCGCGCCAATCCGGCCCGACCCGAGGACAACCCCTCTAACAGTTTCTGTAGTTCTGGCTTGCCTACCGGTCGCTGTGCCCCAGCTCCTGGTACGAGCGCTGGGATGCGCAGAGGGGTACGTTTGCGACAAGACCCCTTCTCATAGCTCACGCTCTACGACTTACTAACATGTCCATGCGCAGAGGCTGGCAACTTCCCCGCTCGTCTGGAGTGAGCATCGGGGTTGTGTTCTGGGAGATGTGTCGGATATGGATCAACAGATGCGGCTATAGAAGAGCTTCACTGCGACCCGAGTCAATAAAACCCGATGGGAAGTGCCCGCTCGTGATTGTTGGTTCCTAGCTTCTATGTCCCCGCATGTCGGGACCTGACTCTTTGGGTATTACTCCTGCTCCAAAGACGCATGGTAGGTTATAATGTGAATAATAAATGTCGTCGATTAGTTGGCATTGGAAAAACGGCTATCGGGCCAATTGCTTGCTGGGAAGAGCTCGTAGAGAAAAAAAGCCGCTGCAGAAAAGGTGATATCAATCCACATCGCTGAGTACCCATAAACGCCAACTCCAAACTCCGCTTCCAGAGGGAAACAGCACAGACCAATTGGGTCATAAGCCTCTCATTACTTGCCACCCTCTTCATCGCTAGACATGAATTCGTCATCGTCGTCGAACCCAGCGAACCTCTTTGCTTTTGAGGTCGATGCCTTGATGTTCGTCTCTGGCTCGGATGGTGGCGATGTAGCGGCAGAGCTTCCTCCTTCCTCGCCCACCATGTCTGTATCGCTCGAGGATCCGGCCTCGTTCTCGGGCGCCTTGGAGGTCGCGCCGGGGTTGGCGACAAGGTTGTCGGTGAACTTGCCCGCCTTCATAGCGGCCAGGACAGCGTCGCGCGTGCGCTCTCCGGCCTCCTCCTTGTCCTCGACCCACTTGCCGTCCAGGCGCCCCTTGCTGTGCTTGATCTCGTGCTCCTTCTTCTCCGTCATCTCGACGATCTGCTCCCAGCGCTTCCTCCGCTTCTCCTTTTCCTTCCTGTCCATGTCGGGCTTGATGGCGAGGTACTCGGCCAGCGCCTTGGCCTCGGTGACTGTGCGCACCCTCCGGCCGTCAAGGCTGCGGCTGGAGCCATTGTTCTCTCCCTGGTTCTTCTTCTTGGACGACATGCGACCGCCGGCCGCGCGCAGCTGGGAGCCGAAGCCACCCTTGCCACCCAGGACCGGGACGGAGAGGCGTAGTGGGAGGAAGTCATCGTGGGAGGTTTGGAGAAAGCTGGCAACGCTGTCTGAGGAGGTTCGCAGTATCTCTCTCCTCGAGTGGGTTGTCAGAACGAGGCGGTGGTCCCTCAGCGGCAGGCGGTTCTCGATCTCGTCCCAAATATCAGAAGTGACGGCTGTCGACTGGAGCGGGAAGGAAATCGTCGATGTGCCAAGCCCTGCGAAGGGCGAGACGAGGACGTTGATGGTCGGTGACATTGTGACGGGTGGCCGGCGATGATGTCTGCAAGGAACAACGGATGCGCCAGGGAAAAGGGCCGCTTTGGGGAAAGGAGTGAGAAGATGGATGGGATTGTTTAGGCTGGCGTGCTGAGGCAAAGTGGGGCCGGTTACATAAAAAAACTCCAGGCTCGGGTGGTATTTGGGTACCTAGGTACCCATAAATCTCAGCGGGTCTACAAATCAGGAGCGCCACCATAATGTGTGACACCTTGATGCCGTCAATACGGAGAGCGGCAGGGTAGGTGCACCACTGTGCCACCCAGTAGATTTAACCACAACTCCATCCTCTTATCTCATTAAGTCAAAAGAAAAATAGCCTTACTAAATCCGTAAAAATGAGTGCATTTAGACCATTCCTTCTTGCACTGGTAAAGATATTAGGACATTCATTTTAAGCACCAAATATAGTGGTGAGGCCGTCCCTGAGAAACCTGGGTGTAAGAGGAAGTCGATTGTTGGAAGGCACGGCCTGGACAAAAAAGTCCGGACCGCAAATTTTTTCCCCACCACCACAAAAAAAGGAGCCCATTCAATCTGCAATTATTTTACCCTTTGCATTTATAAAAAGCGAAAAACGTTATTGTAGCTATAAGTAATGCTTTTTGCATTAAGATAATCACAAATCCCTTGAACGCGTGTTTTTTTAGGTGTAGAATGCGGCGCGGGCATGTTGTTTGGCTTTGGTGCTGGTGCAATTGTGTTGGGAGAGGTAGAGTT